CTCTTTTACCATTCCTGACATTCGCTTACAACACCGCCGTTCAGCGAACAACTCGCAACTCACCGTTTTACCTCGTGTACGGACGCACCCCGACTACCTTTCTCGACGTCTCCTTCTTTAGCAGCCATGAGAATTCGTGTCAGTCTTCTAGCGAAGAATACATTTCCCGCCTGGCTCAGTCTCGCCATCAGGCTCGCATCAATACTGAAGCGAGACAGCACGAGCGAAAGATCACCTATGACGAATCCCACCGCGTTGCGTCTTTCCAACCTGGTGACGAGGTGCTGCTTTTGACACCTATTCGCACTCCTGGTCTCTGTGACAAATTCCAACCACGCTTCATCGGGCCATACATTGTTTTAGAACAGACTTCGCCGGTTAATTATTGTGTGACACCACTCGTCGCCCCAACAGACCGCCGCTACCGCAGCACAGAGATTGTCCACGTTTGTCGCATGAAACCTTTCACGCGACGTTCCCCGTCACTTTGACTTACGGCGGCCAGGGTGTCCGCTTCCAAGTGGGGGGAATTAGTGTGGGCATTTGTTACTTGCATCGTCCTCATCCCTGCATGATCACAATCACCATCATCCGCTTGTCTTTTTGTCCTAATGGCCACTCTGGTTCATCATCATCGTCATCGTCTGTGTACTGGCTCTGCCCGTTCGTTTTGCGAGGTCTTTCCTCAATTAAACGCTGTCGCAACCCAGACTACCAAGACTTCATAATATATATATATATATATATATATATATATATATATATATATATATATATATATATATATATATATATATATATATATATATATATATATATATATATATATATATATATGCCGCTGTGATAGCTTAGTGGTTAGAGCATCGAACGCGTTATTCGAAGGTCGTTGGTTGGATTCCAGCTCACGGCTGGTTATTTTATCACCCACTTTTCTTTCTTCTTATTTACAATCCATTTGTTCTAATAACTTCCCCTATACATTCCTTGGCATTATTGTCTGTTAGATCTCATTAATATTGTGTCAAAACACGGAAAAATGAGCCCTTAGGTATACACTTCTTTTCCCCTTATATATATATATATATATATGATTGTGAAGTACAATGAAAAAGATCGCAGCATATCCATGGAGTGAATGATGATGAGTTGGGCGAAGCATCCGTCCGTGCGTACGGAAAGAAGCGTGAACGGATGGGTGGACGGACAGACAAACGCAGGAATGAATGGATGGACACATAGACAGACGGACGCTTCGTCCTACTCATCATCATTCACTCCGTAGATATGCCGTGACAACCACTTACATTATCTAGTTATATATATTATTCCCAAGGACATTTGCTCTCGCTCGCTGGATTCCGTGCCTACTGGTTGTGCCCTCGCGATCTCCGACGTCAGCGTAGCTCTGGCCGACTGGACTTGCCCTACGCCATCTCCTGATGCCGACAAGAGCTCACGCAAGTTATGCGCCGTCCTCGGACTCCTGTGACCGTGTTTCCATCTTTACTATCTCTCCCATCCCCTCATATGTCCTCGCTCGCTGTCCCGGCGCATCTCTCTCTTTCTCTCTCTCTCTCTATACCTTTAATCCTATACACCTTTAATCCCTGCTCACCACATCCCTTGTGAGCTACGGTTGAAGTGTCGCACGCTGATGCAGACAGTTACGGGGCTCACTTTTAGGGGCAAAGTTGTTTATAGCGACACTTGTTCGTCCCTCGTAGCCGTTGTAGTAGTGTGTAATAAGTATAACATTTTGATCTCCATGGTGGTGCCGGTGAGAGATTTCTTCTGTGCGTTGTTGAACAATAAAAATAGTGCTCAATGTACATGCCAATGGCTGTTAAGGGGGAATGAGAGACAGTAGAATTTGGCTTTTAGTTAACGCGCACGCTGCGAACTTTTTATTGTTCAATAGCGCACAGAAGACAAGAAAGGGTTGCTACGTTATACTCGCTGGGCGTAACCTCCTAGCTTTTAGAAAGGTTTAGTGAGCATTGGGCCACAGTGCCACGAATACAGTGAACTAGTATATGCCATGAACTCGAGGTGGTTAAAAGTGGGAAGTAGACACGAAGCGCAAGCCGTAAGAAAGTGTGCGTGTGCCTCCTTTCGTTCAGTCCTTGGAATGTCCGCTGGATGGCGGTGCTTCTATATGAGAAATATATGATGAAAAGATGCGAGATGCTGGTACTTCGAGTGTTGAATAGGTGAACGAAAGGACACACAGACAGATACATGGACGGACGCATGGATGGCTGCATCGACAGATGGACACATGGACGGACGCAGGAGTGGATGCATGGACGAAAGCAGGGACGGACGCACTGATGAACGTGTGGACGCACGAACAGACGCATGCACGGACGGGCGGATGGACGCACGGATGGTCACACAGATGGACTCATGGACGGACGGAAGCAAGAACGAATGAACGAACGGATGCTTCGCCCCACTATCCATCATTCACTGCGTGGATATGCTGCCATTTTTTTTCTCTTCTTTTGCCTTTTATAACCACAAGACGCATGTAACGCTCCAGTCTGATTGAAAGCACGTAGCGAATGTGGTAGTGCTATCCCTGTCATACCGGGCACGCTTCATATTATGGGAGAAAAAACAAACAAACGGGGGAATACGTCAGTAGGTAACCAATTATAAATGAAAAAAAAAGCTTATTAAAACGTTATGCATCATAAAAGACTGAAATATATAAAGAAAGCCTCAGTACTCCAAGTAATTTCCGCGTTTTCGCCAAAGAGTTTAAGCATATCCGAACAAAAATTTGCAGTGTGTAACCAGAGAAAGTATTGTGGAAGTACAGCGGAGCGTTCAAGCCAAAACCACACATGCACTGTGGCTATACAAACAGTGCAAAGCTTGCGCTGACTGGTGGTGGCTTGTGCAGAATGTCTGGCCATTGATTCCTGCTCCTCACGGGACGGCTTTACGCTCTCCCATAGTAGAGTATCTAGTATTCTAAATCGCTACCCACTTTTTCTGAACAGACAGCTCAACTTAAATTCTAGGTTTTTAAGTGTGAATACACTTTATAAGCGACCCCAAACCATCCACCGCCGTCGGCGGCGTCCGCTGTCTTCTCTCTATCTTTAAAAGAAAGAGGACTTGGCGGGCCGCAGTGCGACGCTCTACCGAATAAGCCACGGACGCGACGCTGATATCGGTGTCAGTGACGCGCCTTATGCCCCCTCCCCCTTCGCTCGCTCCTGCGCTCTCCTAGCTCGCTGCAGCTGCGCGCGCACCCCTCTCTCTCGCGCGCCCGCCTTCTCTCTCTGTCTCCCGTCGAGAGCGGGTCGTGCGATGGATGTCCCGGAGACAACGCTACCATCAACAACGAATGCAGTACAACCGAATGCCAGCACTGCACTCGTCGTTGGAGGTGACGGTACCACGGTGGTTTCGCCGACGTTGGAAGACAAGGCGGCGCTGCGAAGGGCTCGTGAGACCGAACGTAAGCGGGCGAAGCGTGCAGTTGATGCCGAACTGCGTGCTCGCGAGGCCGAGTGCAAGCGGACGAAGGGTGCAGCGGATGCCGAACTGCGCGCTCGCGAGGCCGAGTGCAAGCGGACGAAGCGTGCAGCGGATGCTGAACTGCGTGCTCGCGAGGCCGAGTGCAAGCGGGCGAAGCGTGCAGCGGATGCCGAACTGCGCGCTCGCGAGGCCGAGGACAAGCGGGCGAAGCGTGCAGAGGATGCCGAACTTCGCGCTTCCGAGGCCGAGGACAAGCGGGCGAAGCGTGCAGCGGATGGTGAACTGCGCGCTCGCGAGGCCGAGATGAGGCGTCAGCATCGAGCCGCGAACGCGGCCCAAGAAGCGGAACGACAACGCAAGCGTCAGGCGGAGAAGGGCGATGAAGGCCGGCGTCAGGACGCCGCTCGCAATCGTCAACGGCGAGTGGACGTTCCCGAAGCCGTTCCAGCCAGTGAACGTGCCGCGCGGGAGAGGGTGCGAGCCCTGGACTTTGCTCGTCCGGACGCGTCGTGAAGTGTAAATAAATAATACTTCGTATATAATGTATCTGTGCACAAATGCTTCATGACAAACAAGACTTAAATTCATTATTACACTTTAATCATCATCATCAGTAATAAAACGCCCAAGCATTTCCCCGAGAGTGAACATGGTTAAGTGCGAATGCACGGGGTGATGCTATGAGGGGGAGTAAAGTTAAAATCCGTTGGCATTCGCCAGTGAGTTAACGTAAACTCCCCCGTGTGATCAAATTGCGATTCCCAGGAACCATTACACCATAAAGGCACCATAGTGTGATTAATAAATATAATAGTGCGAATTAATAAATACCCCTCATAGCGTCACCCCGTGCATTCGCACTTAACCATATGCACCCTCGGGGAAATGCTTGGGAGTTTTTTAGGGACGACTCACTTCTCTTTCACAGTTGAGTACGAAGAACTCAAACTCGTTAAACACTTTCTCTAAACACACTCGATCTATTTGAAGTGTTCTTTAACTTTTAACACGTGTACACAGATAAATTGGATTTTATCACTCATTTGTAAGATGTATACACTGTCCTTACTTGTTTTCGATGTTTCGTTTGTATATGTACAAGTTACATGTACAATAAAACTTTCCTTTTCTTAAAGACAGCGTTGAATATGTTGCTGGGCTAGAGATTTTGCGGCGAAGTGGGAGGGAGGTTCAACTTTACTGTATGATCGTGCGAGCGTTTGTATTTCTCCATATGCACCATGCAAAATTGAGAGTTCGGAGAGGGGGGAGTTTGAACTCCCACCAACATCGAGAAAATAGGAAATCTTAATGCGTATAATTGTTAAAATTTCAGAGAGCGTCGCAATTAAAATGTCAATTGGTATAAAATAAAGTGTGGATGGTAACCATCTATTGCTGACCCGCAAGATGATTCTAACTTCAATGTTTCTTCTAAATCCTTCTCCGTACAAAAAAAAAAAACTAAGAACTATTGGGAGAAACCTGTGACGTGCAATCCTCACTGGTGCTCTTGAGCTGTCTTTTGTATCCTGGGGGCAGGTACATCAGCTGCGCCACAATGCGATCGTCTTGCGGGTATTTCGGGTCTGGCCACACATTGCCGAGCCTCGACAGCTTGCTCGTCGGTCTGGGCCACTCGGTGCCGTTGGTGAAGAACCAGGGCAGCTTGTGGCTCGACTGCGAAGAGGGCGTGTCGTCGTGTCGATGGTCGGCTTCCTCGCTGTCCCTGCACGCATAGCAGCGTGGACATCGATTACGCCGTCACATCTTTTGTAGTGCGACGCCGACTCACAGCCATCTCTAGCCCTGTTCGAAGCATGTAGTCTGCTGAGCCTTACGTGGTCTTGCTGGAGCCTATAGTGTACACGTATCCCGCAGGAGTACGGCCACTAGCGTGGGTTTGGTCTTGTGAGCCGTAGGGCCGCGTTCACATTTGCCTCGCGTAACTAACGCCGCTGCACACGCGCGTTGTACGGACAAAGCGCCGAGCGCAGCGCGGCAAGTACACAGTAAAGCTCTCAACAAGTCACAACACCTGATTGCCTGCGGCAACACCAAAACGCAGTACAGCGCTCACTGCAAAAGGCGGTGGGAAAGCAAACGAGGCTTATTCACGCCACAGGCGAAAGTACAATACAAAGGGTGCCACGAGCACGTCTCCGAGGGCAAAAAGGTTCACAGCGACTCCGCTGAGAGAAACGCGCCCTCACGACTAAGCTGCGCGCTCTTACGATCAGTGACCACAGGGCCCGATCACTCGAGCAAGGGCAAACTTCGCTCACGTCGGCTTCGAGGGGCACGGCTTGGCGTAGTGGCACCACGCGCGAACACACCACACTGCTCTTTGGTTTAGCGTCTGGAAGGGGCAACGAAAGATAAGCATTCGTCGCAGGCGCCATTGGCGAGTCTGAGCGAGCTCCAAGAACAACGGAGCTGACGGACGGGAACAAAAAGGGGCGCTCATCCTTCGCTGTCCATAGAGTTTTCTCTCCTACTCCCGCTGAGAGCGTGCAGGAAACGTCTCGGGAGACTCAAGCGCAACGCGCCCCAATCGAAATCCAGTTCCAGGAAAGATAGGTTAACGTCACTCCCACTCTCCAAGCACCGAAGAACCGCGGAGGAGGGGAGAGTCCTGTTGGGACATCAGAACGGCAGAATTAGGCGACAAAGTCCGCGCAATGGTGACGGGCTACCCTCAATCCCACAACCCATGCGCCTAGCTTCTTCAGAAGTGGTCTGCTCATAGCGAGGAGACATAATGACCATTGACAAATATCGTCGCGTCTCCTACGTATATAAGCCTATTTTACTTATTTATTATTTACTTATTTACTGAACCGCACCGGGCAGTGTTTCCACACACAAAAAACAGGCCAATTGGGCTACGGCTAATGCCTCAGAGGGCTGGTGATGTGGCTGGGGCACCGGGCATTTCTCTTCACTACATACATACATACATACATACATACATACATACATACATACATACATACATACATACATACATACATACATACATACATACATACATACATACATACATACTGTCGCAGTACAACGCGAACAAAGCACGAGTACGCCTTGAGGCAGCGAAAGCAGCGTGTTCTCAACAGCTGAGCCGCAAGATTTTCTTCTTCGTTCTCGAATCAAGCCATAGGCCCACTACCTGGTGTCCGCTAAATCCCCCCGACATCGTTTTTGTCCACATGTAGACACGGGTCATTTGCCTCGCTCTTAAAGAGCATCGACCCGATGCGAAGTCAATAATGCAGTTTTTGTTAAAAGATGTCTCACGCAATCACTCGCTGACGTAAGGCTTCATGCGCACTACGTGAACGAGTTCAGGATGGTGCTGGCGACGCTTGGTACTACACGAATTGTCGGGAACGACTTCGTAAGTGACGTCACTCAGTTGTCGCAGCACTCGGTATGGCCCAAAGTATCTTCTTCAGAGCTTTTCTGATAGTCCTCGTTTCCATACGGGTGTCCAAACCCATACTTTGTCGCCAGTTTGATAGACAACTGCTCTGCGGTGAGCATTGTAGCGGCCTGCATCGTACTCTTGCTGCTGGCGGATCCGTAAACGTGCCAGTTGTCTAGCTTCTTCCGCGCGTTCCGTAAACGTGTTGGCGTCTGGGTCGGCGTCATCACTTTCGTGCGGTAGCATCGCATCTAACATAGTTCGTACTTCTCGTCCATGAACGAGGCTGAACGGGGCCATGCGGATCGTTTCTTGCGTGGCCGTGTTGTACGCCGTGTTGTATGCCAAGATTTCATCCCAATTTTTGTGTTCAATGTCTACGTACATCGAAAGCATGTCTTCAATGGTTTTGTTCAGACGCTCCGTCAGCCCGTTTGTTCTTAAGTGGTATGCGGTGGTCTTACGATGCGTTGTTCCACTCAGCACCAGGACGTGATCCAAAAGAGCTGCCGTAAATGCGGTTCCTCTGTCTGTGATCACGATGGTTGGTGCACCATGCCTCAGTACAATATTTTCGATGAAAAATCTTGCCACCTCCGCTGCTGTACCTCTCTGGATAGCCTTTGTCTCGGCATAACAGGCCAGATAATCCGTCGCGACGATAACCCAGCGGTTTCCTGCAGTAGAAATAGGAAGTGGGCCCAAAATGTCCCTGCCTATCTGGTAGAATGGAGCTGTTGGGACCTGCACGGGTTGCAGGAAGCCAGCTTGTTTAGTCAAGGGTGACTTGCGTCGCTGGCAGTAGAGACAGGTACGAATGTGGTGCTTCACGGCTGTGGTTAGTCTCGGCCAGCAATAGCTTTGCTGTACTTTGGCCAACGTTCTCATGTAACCCAAATGGCCAGAGGTCAGCTCGTTGTGGCATTCTTTGAGTACTTCGGTACGAAGGGCTGCTGGTATGACGAGCAGATAGGTGGATCCTGTCGACGAAAAGTTTCTTTTGTAGAGTACTCCGCCCTGAAAACAAAACGATGACAACACTCTTGCGAAAACTCTTGGCGCCTTCTGAGATCTGCCTTCCAAGTAGTTAATTAAGCCAAGCAACTCAGTGTCGTCACGTTGTTGCTGCGCAATGGCGGTCGTATCGAGGACACCGAGAAATGCCGTTTCCTCCTCCTCAGGTAGGGTTGCCGACTCAATGGGTGAACGGGACAGATAGTCAGCGTCCATATGTCGCTTGCCTGACTTGTGCACGACCGTCATGTCAAACTCTTGCAGTTTTAGGCTCCAACGTGCTAATCGGCTGGTGGGATCTTTTAGATTAGTTAACCAGCAAAGGGAGTGATGGTCACTAATAACTTTGAAGTGCCGGCCATACAAGTACGGGCGAAATTTCATTACTACCCATACTACGGCGAGGCATTCTTTCTCTGTTGTTGAATAGTTAGCATCTGCGCGTGTTAGCGTTCGGCTTGAGTAGGCGATCACTCTTTCTGTGTCCTCTTGCCGTTGCACAAGCACAGCCCCAAGACCTACATTGCTAGCATCTGTATGAAGCATCGTCGGAGCTTCTTCGTCGAAGTGGGCAAGCACCGGGGGCGTTTGAAGACGTTGACGCAGGTCATTAAAGGCAGCCTTCTGTTCTTCTTTCCACTCAAAGGCAACATCGTCTCTTGTGAGACGAGTTAGTGGCGACGCGATGCGGGCGAAGTCTGCAATAAACCGGCGATAATAGGCCCAAAGGCCCAGGAAGCGTCTGACAGCCTTCTTATTGGAGGGTACTGGTAACTGTGCGACGGCGGCAATTTTTTCAGAATTGGGCCGGACGCCTGCTTTGCTGACGACGTGACCGAGAAACTGAAGTTCGTGAAAACAGAAATGGCATTTTTCTGGTTTCAATGTTAGGCCCGCGAACCGTATGGCACGTAAAACAACTTCCAGCCTTCTGAGATGCTCGTCAAAAGTGGTCGAAAACACTATAACGTCGTCCAGATAGACTAGGCACGTCTTCCACTTCAATCCCGAAAGTAACGTGTCCTTTGAAAAGTCGCGGGCGCGGAGCACAAACCGAAAGGCAAGACTTTAAATTCGTATAAACCATCTGGCGTGACAAAAGCGGTTTTCTCTCGGTCTCTTGGGTCTACCTCGATCTGCCAGTATCCACTCCTCAAGTCCATGGAAGAAAAGTAGCGAGTGTGGCGAAGTCTGTCAATGGAGTCATCAATACGTGGGAGCCGGGTACACATCTTGCTTGGTCACCCGATTCAGCTTCCTGTAGTCCACGCAAAAACGCAGGGTGCCGTCCTTTTTCTTTACTAGCACTACAGGCGATGCCCAGGGACTCTGTGACGATTGAATGACGTCATCTGCAATCATTTTCGCGACTTCTTGTTGTATGGCTTCGCGTTCCTTTGAAGCTACACGATAAGAGTTTTGGTGGATAGGTCTCACCATGTCCTCGGTGATTATTCGGTGCTTTGTCAAAGGTGTTCGGCCAACTCTTGATGTCGTTGAAAAGCAGTCGCGGAATTCGGCTAGCAGCTGAAGAAGTCTCTGTCACTCGTCCTTTGACAGAGTGGTGCCAACATCGAGAACGGGTTCCGGATCTTGATTAGGCCTTCGTCCAATACCGACAAACGTAAACTGCCTCGCATTTCTGCAATATTGTCGTACGAAGCGATAGCTGTGCCCTTCGGAAGGTGCCGGTGCTCAGCACTAAAGTTCGTCAGAAGTAAATTCGTGCGTCCACCAGTGAGACGGACGATACCTCGTGCGACCGAAATGCCATGACTAAATTGCAGCGAGCCAATTTGGTCAGTAATGCCTTCGCCATCAAACGCTTCGTGGCCTTCCACCGAAAGAAGAGTGCATGACCGGGGCGGGACGACCATATCATCATCATTTATACGTAAAGTGTTACGTATTGCGTCTGAACAGTCAACTAAACCAGGGCTGTTGCGGAATGTAATTGAACGGTCCGGGATGTTGATGACGGCACCATATTCTCTTAAGAAGCCCATCCCTATGATCAAGTCCTTGCAACATGAGGTGAGGATGACGAACGTCGCCACGAAAGAAGAGCCACCGATGTCGAGTCTTGCTGTACACCTTCCGACAGGCATCAATAGCTGGCTGCCTGCTGTCCTCAGGTGAGGTCCCGTCCACGTAGTCTTCACTTTTTTGAGGCGTACGGCAAGGTTTTCACTTATGATAGAAAAGTCGGCGCCGGTGTCAACTAAGGCTGTTACTTGCTGTCCGTATACCGAAACGGTAAGATCTGTGGTCACAGTTTCGTCGGTGTTACAACTTCTCGGCTTTACGGCGACCTGTGGTACAAGTAACGGGGGCTTTTTTTCGTCGCCTTGACGGCCTGCAACCTCATCCCCGGAGGTCGCCGCCTTCAGTTTCACCGGCCGGCGGGGACTTGGTGACCTCCTTCCACTGACGTCGGCTGTAGTTAGGTGGCGCGACGAAGGCGAGTATGCCAGAGACGGAGAGCGCGGTCGACGTCCCAAAGCTGGCTGGTAATCAGGCACACTGTCGTCATTATTGGCACGGTGGTTGTCAAAATGGGACTGAGACAAGGGGGGTCCTTGAGAATGAGCGTCCCGGAGTGGTGCGTAGCCGTCGTTGGTGCGTCGATCGTCAGACCATTGCCGAAGAGGTCGAAACATATGTACGTGGTGCCAGCAATGGCGGGAAATGTGGCCCACACCTCCGCAGGTAAAGCAAAGCGGACGCCTATCTACAGTGTGCCAGGCGTCTGTTTTAGGAAGCTGTGGACGCCGCAACGGCTCGTAATGTGGCAAATGCCGTGTCTCGTTGGGAGACGGCTCTTGGTACGGCGACATTTCGTACGGCGGCCCGACGGCGGGGCGCCGCGGTGTCTGTTCTTGCGGTGGCGACCAAGGAACGGCTGCCGATGGCTGGCGGTACAACGGCGCAACGGGCGGTGGGCGGCGAAGCGCGGCTGCGTAGCTCATAGGTCGCTGATCGTCAGTAGGATCAGCTGTTGAAAACGCTTGGCGTATTTCTTCGCGGACGACTTCAGCGACAGACGCCGTGGGTGGTTCCGTGACCAGATTCCGCAGCTTCAGCAGCTCTTCGCGAACAATATCTCTATTAAATCGCGCAACGAGCTTTGATTGTCAGATGTCGTAGCAGCGACTTGCATGTGGATGCTGCTGGACAAGCGATCGCATTGTCGGCATCGTAGGTGAAGCGCCCGTTCGATAGCCGTAGCTTCTTTGATGAAGTCTGTCACGGTGCTTGGCGGGTTCCGCAAAAGTCCGGCGAACAGTTGCTCTTTAACGCCACGCATGAGGTAGCGCAACTTTTTGTCGTCGGTCATGTGCGGGTCAGCTTTACGGAAGAGACGGGCCATGTCCTCAGTGAACATTGCGACCGTTTCATTGGGTTTCTGAACCCGTAGCTCGAGTAAATTCTGCGCACGTTCGCGCCGGTCGACATCGGCAAATGTGTCAATCATCCCTCTTTTAATGTCACTCCATGTTGACAAACTGCCTTCTCTGTTCTTGTACCAAGTTCTAGCGCTGTCGTTGAGATAAAAATAGGCGCGGGAAAGCCTTTGTTCAAGGGACCACTGGTTGGTGTTAGCGACACGTTCATAGTGATCAAGCCATTCTTCGACGTCTTCATGTGCTCCACCACCAAAGCGATCAGGCACCAGTGGTGAAAAAAGGGTTACCTGAGATGGGGTTGGCAAACTACTGTCTCGTAGTAACTGTTGTGGACTGGCGGTGGCCATTGGTAGATGTGAGCGGTGCCTGGTAGAGTGTTCCTGTGAGAGGGTGAACTCTGGAAGGAGGCCTCGCAAGCGACGACTGTAGTGATGAGCGGGAGTGTCGACAAGTGCTTCTGGGCTGGATGAACGGCTCGCCGTGGGAGTGTGGAGCATCAGGCGGGGTCGCGGGCCAGCACCTCCACCAGTGTCGCAGTACAACGCGAACAAAGCACAAGTACGCCTTGAGGCAGCGAAAGCAGCGTGTTCTCAACAATACATACATACATACATACATACATACATACATACATACATACATACATACATACATACATACATACATACATACATACATACATACATACATACATACATACACGTGCACTGTAAACGAATAAGCGCTAATGCAGGAGAGGCTAACATAGGGAAACTTTGGCAGCAAAATAACCTGCAGCGGCAAAAAAAGACATAGAAAATTAACTGGCAGGACGTGCGGCCAGTAATATATTTAATGGAAAGCCAAATAGGAAGCTTCATCATTTTAAGTGGTGATCCATAAACGTAATGGAAGGCTTCGATGAAAGTGGCTATATTTTCCCGTTTTAGTACTTGCGCAGTACACAGCGTCAAGTTGTTGCTGTCGTTGTTGTTAAATATGGCGACGATACGACACCTCTCGAACCAACCTGAATATCTGGCGCTCGATGATCCTACGGGCCCTCCCTGTCCTGCTCTCGCGCCCGTCCCGATTGCCTCCGCCGCGGTCTTGTCTATTCCCAGTGGCCTCGGTGGCGCCCGGTAGCTGCTGCCTCCAGGGCGGTAGTCGGCGGCCCCCGGAGGTCGTCAGCTTCATTTGGAAGCCGACCAGCGTGGCGCAGCTGGACACAGCCAGGATGGCGACGCAACGGCGAATGAACCGCACGCGTCGGACAGGATGCCACCGGACCATATGACACAGGAAGTGTGAGCCCATTCACAGAGCTGTCCGGGGGACACCCGCGGAAGTTGAGCGAATGTACGCACATTGCGGGAAAAAAAAATAAAACGTCCAAAAATATCGGCTCCTATTCTTGATTAACCTGCACGCCAAGAAAAATAAATAGACCTTCGACATTTTTTTGCGTGTCCTAACTTGTTTTTACGTATGCGACTGTTTAGTATGACCCGTTAACTATCTTTGGTGATCACTGTTCATTCTACGGATAGTCATGACACCCTAAGAAAATTAACTTCTTACTTTATAGGGACAAGTTAATGTGACAAGTCTTACCAGAAAAATCGGCACGTACATAGTCTTCTTCTTTTCCCTGGAGACGTAAGTATTGACCGAAAACCATGCACGTTACATATTTCAAAACTTTGAATGGCGTGGAAATGATCTTTTGTTGTGTGGTGCCGAAGAATCTCTCGTTTAAGAATTAAGATTGCACCGTAAGTAGATTTATATAATTTTCTTGGGTGTGCCTATTCTCCCGGCAACCGAGATAATTGTTCATAAAAATGTCTCCCGGCAGTCGCCTCCCATTGGCTCTCCTATGTCACGTGACTAACTGCCGGGCGAAATTTTTGTTGTATTATTTTCCCGGCAACCGGGAGAACTTGACCTAACCTAACCTAACGCATGCTAGGCCACATCTATGTCCAGTCTGTGCCGCAGCTACCAGTTTTTCCTCTTCTTCCCCCCCCCCCCCCCCCGGTAGTTAGTCGAGTGACATATGCGAGCCAATGGGAGGTGACTGCCAGGAGAATTTATTTTGAACAATTATCTCGGTTACCGGGAGAATAGACACTGTGAATTTTCTTAGTCGCCGACTTTTCAACGTAAGTAGGAAGTGTCATATTGCTAACAGACAATGCGACAAGCTCAGTAAATGCATTTTTGTAGACATCGTAAGAGACGAAAGGTTCATTTATTCCGTGGCAGTCCGCAACATTTTTATAATAAAATTATATACTGCTTCAGAATGCGTTTTTTTTACAGCACGCATATAAAGAATCAGTAAATTATTCACTCTTTCTCTTTTTTTGCGCGCCATGATTTGATGCACAAGGCCGATTCAATAGTTAGGTTGTTCCGCAGACAGTTGGCGCAGCCCACTTCAGGGGATAGGTCATCAATCGGACGGTGCCTGCTTAGGAAACTAATTAACTTGCTAAAGGCATGAACTCAACTACGAATGTTTAGCCATCGCTCATTAAGAATATCATCTCGTAAATGAAAAGAAGAGGACTTAAAGAAAACCGCCTAAGAGACATATACTACATGCAACTGTGACTAAGGAAAAAAGTGGTTGAAAAGTAAACTTAAAGTGTTATCGTGCCTGTTTCGCGACTACTTTTTTTTTTTCGGAGAATAGGCGCTATAGCTACTCACATTCGGAAAACACCGCGTCTTGTCTTTTGTATAGATGTCCCGGTACAAGATGTTCTTCGGAGAACGTCGACGTCTGAAAACCTGAGAGGTAGTTAAAGCCCGTCGCCGAACTCGAAAACAATGCCAGGTTGACTCGCCGCTTCTCTTCTTCTTCGTCTCCTCGTTATTCGCGAACCTTGTAATTGATTATCGCTGAAGGCTCATACCCACTACGGGGGATCAACCAGTAGCTGGTTGTGTTACAAGCAATGTTGTTTGCGTTACTGAAAAAAACAACAAAATTTTTTACTCGTAACTCTAAGAGAAAAGGAACACGTCTGCACGCTATACGTCACCTAAACAAAAAAAGAGAGAAAGGTAACGAGTTACCTTCGCAGCTACTGAAATAAAAGTATCGGGCTTTACCTCTTTGGTTACTCTGCAATTGTAAGTTATAACCAATGTGGGTTTGTTGCAGTAACCCACTGAAGAACTTTTTAAATATCAAATTAATTAGTCACTTGGAAGCACGAAAATTTGGGCGAGTTCGTACTGATACATAGTGGAATTAAGAGCACGTAAGTAGACAAGTAGGTAAGTAGGTGTAACCTTAAAAGACAAAAGAGAGCTGAGTGGATTAGGGAACAAACGGGGGTTAAGGATACCATAGTTAAAATCAAGAAGAGGAAATGGACATGGGCTGGGCATGTAGCGCGTAGACAGGATAACCGCTGGTCAATAAGGGTAACTAACTGGATTCCCAGAGAAGGCGAGCGGGTTAGGGGGAGACAGAAGGTTAGGTGGGCAGATGAGATTAAGAAGTTTGTGGGTATAAATTGGCAGCAGAAAGCACAGGACCAAGTTAACTGGTGGAACATGGGAGAGGCCTTTGTCCTGCAGTGGACATAGTCAGGATGATGATGATGGTGATGATGATGATGATGATGATGAAGTAAACAAGATAGAAAAAAACTGATCGAGAGTGCTGCTTTGTGTAATTCTGTATCTTGCATTTTGCCTGCTCGGGCGTTCTTAATTCCACTATGGACTTATTAGTCACACAAAGTTTCCAACCCCAACAAGGACTATACCCAACATGCTCATTTAGCAATTGCTTGCGACGCATATGACGGAGCCATTTTTTATCAAGGTGGCATTATACGCAATACTAGATTCAATGATCTACGCTTTCCGCAAAGAATGCGTCACTCAACTCTCAAGAATTTTAATGTTATGAGTTTTCTCCCATCGCAATTTACCCCCGCAGAAAAAGGACCCCGCGTGGTGTCGTTTAGTCAACACTCGGCGGATAACTTTTTCTCGGATTAGTTGGTATTGCTTACTGTGCCACATTGCGCCGCAGGTTAGAACACACCAAAGAATTTCGCTGCATTTGTCATCATGTTCGTGTCTGTTTTGTGTGTGCGTTGTTTTCACTAGCGGCAAAATGCTATCGGGGAAAGGTACGTGTTCCGACAAGAAGAGTCAGTATTGTGCATGACTATGCGAGGCTAACTATAACTAACAGTAAGAAGTAACGCGACGTCCCCGTTACCCAGAGTTGGTAAATAACGTTACCTATCTGTTACGATTCCAAAATAATAATGAATACGCCACCAAGTCACTGAAGAGATTAACGCATTGCCGGTAACGCTGCTTGAAATTGAGTGCTCGTCCTGTTTTTATTCTGTGGTCACTTTTATTAGAGCTGTTCTCTTAAACCTTGTTGTAAATTTTGGTATTGACGATGCTGTAAGAACCTAGGTGTTTTCTTGAATTCCCACCCTGTATGGAATTTGATGAGCATCCGTGGCTTCAGTGTTCCCAATTGTCGTGCCTTTAGCACGGTTGGCTGTTCTCGTGTATCACTTTTTTTGGCTAAGTTATGTAGGAATCAATGAGCCGAACACTTGCCCCGTCATTGAATGTGATCAATAGTATTTTGTAGACAGAGAACAGTTGTTCCCGCTGGGCAGGCTTTTTTGTTTGTTGTGAATCTTTTGCAGCATTTTGGGCTTCATTTCGACACGCTGCGCCCAAATCTTGAGTGCTATTGATTTCACGTCATGTTTCTTCTGTTTTATTGTTGGTCTATTTTTCTTTCTTCCTGTACAGTCCTGTCCCCCCAAAAATGGGTCATCACTCGAAAATCGCAGCTTATTGCGAAAAAATCAAAAAATAAATCTCAAGTGTTTTCTTGAATTTCATCTGCTAGAGCTTTGTGGATAGAAAAAAAATCAGTGACTGCATAAATATCTCTTTACGTAACAAATGCGCGATTATACCAACATACATAAATGAAACGATAACGGCGTAGTAAACAATTGAAGAAATACTCTCAACTCATCTCACTGAAATTCCGTCGTCGTGGACTACAAAATATCTGTAAATACTCCGGAGGTGCCACGCAAGAACTTCGGATAGCCGCAGTGAAAGAGGAGTGAGAAATACTCCAAAAGTGCTACGCAGGAACTCCCGCCTACTGGAGTGTAATAACAGCGAAAAGTAGTTCGGAGGCGCCACACAATTACTCTGGCCGGCCAGAGAAAATACTTTACTCCGAAAATCCGGAGTATAAAAAGCTCTCAAAGTGGGTTGGGGGCGGGGAGTCACTAGAGAACAAGCACGTTACTCCGACTTGAGAGTTTTTCAATATTATAAAGCAGTTTTCACGGAGTTTTCTCTCACAACACTTTTTTTGCCTTACTAATATTTTCATTGTGTGTGTGTGTGTTTTTTGCGTGTTCCTACTATCATGGGTGTTTCTACCATCGCATTCAATAACTTTTTAAGTAGCTTCATGGTTTTCTCTGTAGCTGAATATTTGAATGTCTAATTTTGTATCCCCGTTTTACAGTCCAGACATTCATGTCATTTCAGCAGCCCGTTTTGATTCATTTTTTACCTCAGCCCTTCTTCAAACCCAACTTTGCTTTGCAGTGTCCTATGGCCATTCAGTGGGTATGCGTCACAGCTCTCAAGATCATCGTCATCATGATCAGGAAGAAGATTGTTGCTCATCACGCGTGCCATCCAAAGGTGGAGGTTTAGCGTTCTTTGTCAATAATAAAATTAGTTCAAAGATCAAAACTTCGTACAAAAGTATATCCCCCGAATGTGAAATTTTCGCTTTAGACATCACCTTGCCTGGATGCTCTCCCTTCTCTCTGGTAAATCTTTACTTTCCTCTGGGTGTACAAGACACGCGATGTTTAGACATGGCTGTTAGTTCGTGGTGCACAGAAAAAATTATGGTTGGAGATTTTAATTCTCACCACACTAGTTGGGGTTTTAGGACTGATCAATGTGGACAACGCTTGTGGGACTGGTCTATAGACCATAATTTATCATGCCTCAACGCTAGAACTCCCACATTTATCCGAGACCGATCCCGCTCTGCCTTAGATTTGAGTTTTATCAGCTCGGGTATTGCTAGCGTATCTTGGACTACTCTAGACTGCGCCACCAACAGTGACCACTTACCAGTACTGTTTGAAATTTCTTGCCCCATTATTCCATCTTACTCCCAAGCTCGAACCTTTATCAATTATTCCAAATTTAAAAATGACCTAGAAGTTGCTTTGACTACCCCCACTGAAGACAACGATGAAAATAAAGCCATGAAATTAAGTGCGGTAATTAAAAGAACGTTCAAAAAAGCAGAATTTTCTATTGAGTCTGATACGAGAAAGCCTTGTAGTCAGTGGTGGAATTCTGAGTGCTCTCGTGATCATAGACGACGACAAGCGGCTTGGAAGCAGCTAATTCATAATCAGTCCCCCAAAAATTGGGCAGATTACAAGTTTATTGCTGCTACATTTAAGCGCACCGTGGCTAAAGCTAAAGAAGACTATGACAAAAAACATTTCGACTTTCTTTCCAAACCTAGAAATAAGAAAGCGTTATTCCGATATATGAGATCGCGCAAAATTCTGCCGTCTCTAGCTAACTCTGATTATGACAGGTTATCGACGGAAGAAATGACTAATTCGTTAGAGGCAATCGGAAGAGGTTTAGCTAACAGATTTTCGTCGACTTTGACAATCAACTGGCAAAAGTCCTCTATAAAGACTGACTACGAAAAAGTGACATTGTCCGAAATGTCAAGCGTAATTAGAAACTTACCCTCTTCGGCTCCTGGTCCTGACGGTATAACAGTTCCTATGATTAAATTTTATTCCAGATATCACCCGGCGACGTCCTCAACCTTATAAACTATTCCTTAAGCAATGCCTGGATACCACATGACTGGAAAATAGCTAGAGTGATTCCCATATTAAAAAAACAAGGGTCAGGTTTTAACATTGACAACATCAGACCAATCTCTCTAACATCTCACCTGATCAAAATTATAGAGAGAGTTCTCAATAATAGAATAAAAGTTTGGATGGCTGACAAGCTAATATTGAATCCATTTCAAATAGGTTTTCGTAGCGAATGCTCAATTTGGTGTGCTCATGCCGACTTAGAGAGCCGAATACAGCTTGCCCGAAAAAGACGACAATACGCGGTACTAGTAACACTAGACATAGCTAAAGCTTATGATAGCGTTGAGCACTCAATTTTATTGAATTCTTTACACGAATGTGACTTTCCGCGATATATTGTTGATTGGGTAGCAGAGTTTCTAAAATCGAGAGAATTTTATTGTGCAAAGGATGGATGTCACTCATCTAAATTCAAACAGCAACGTGGAGTACCTCAAGGGGCGGTCCTATCTCCGCTGTTATTCAATGTGTTGATGAGCTCAATTCCCATTGAACGAGATATCACTGTCTACATTTATGCAGACGACATTGCATTTTTCGTTGCAGACAGTGACATTTATTCTTTGCATCAAAAATTGCAAAAGTACATGTATTCTCTTGAAATTTGGCTGCATTCAATTTCATTGTCTCTAAACATCAGTAAAAGTGCGCTCCTGGTGTTCCCTATAGCAGATTCTATTCAAATTTCAGTACTTTATAATCAGGAACCGATTCCACAAGTAGAGTCTATCAAATATTTGGGCATTATTTATAACGAGAAACTTAACTGGAGCCCTCACATAGACTATAACGTGGCAAAGGCACAACGAGCTTCAGGCTTATTGCGAAGGTTGAGCAACAGAAAATATGGGTTACGTAGACACACCTTATTAATGATATATAAAATGTACATGCGCCCAATACTCGAATTTGGGTGTATATTATTTTCGGGTGGCCCTACGTACAAAATTAAACCGTTAGTTCTATTAGAGCGAGAAGCGTTACGGTTGTGTTTGCGACTCCCCAGGTATGTCGCTATTAATGTACTATATCAGGAAGCTCGCATACCAACTATTCTTTGCCGATTCCGTATCTTAACAGTACAAACATACTTGAAATTTTACGGCTTATCAGCGAGACGGTCTGCATATGCCTTTATTAGTGACCCCGACGCCTTCTTCCTCGCTCACTGGCCACGCTTTCGTACTCCCCAGATTATTTTTGTACAAAAGAAACTTGAAAGCATAAAGGTGGATATCAGATCGGTAATTGGAACCAAAGCATTAAATCACAATATTACGATAGAATGTGATGAAATTTTTCCCCCACTATCTAAGTTTCAATCTTCGAGTTACTTAAATGACAGGTTAGAAGACTACATAGCTCATGCGGAAATAAAGAACATAATAGCCACAGACGCTTCTGTGAATAAAGAAAAGGCAGCAGTAGGAATCGTCTCAGATTACCTCGGTTGGTCATTCTCGGTAAGACTACCAGACTTCACTCCGGTTTTCGAAGCTGAGCTCCTGGCTATTATTTTAGCGCTACGAAAACTTCCTTCAAACGAAGAGAGTGCAATGATAATTACTGATTCTCTTTCGCTGTGTACTACTCTCACAGCTTCAGAACAATCAAGAGCTCTAGCGACATTACAAACATTAGTTCCACCTCATGTGAAGTTCCTGAAGTTAGTCTGGGTCCCGGGACACTGTGGCATACGGTTGAATGAAATAGCCGATTCACTATCTCGAGCCACACTTGATGGCCCTGTGATCTCGGTACTACCAGAATCGGAACACATAGTGTCGATCAGATATAGAAAATGGGCTATTTATACGGATATTATGGAAAATATTACTAAATATACGGACTATCAGCACCTAACATACCCCTGGAAACCTCAGTGGAGTCAATCTAAAAAGTTAGAAGTTATTTTAACCAAATTTCGATGTCGTGTCCCTCCATTAAACTTTTACTTGCACAGAGCTGGTCTGGCGATATCCCCCCTGTGTCCATTCTGTGAAGAAACGGAAACAATAGAGCATTACTTTATAACATGTAAAAACTATTCATTAATTAGGAAAAGACTTTTAATTGTTCCGTTTCAAGCAGTAGGTTTAAATTTAACTGCAGATAATGTTCTAAGTTTCGGTGCCTTTAGCTTGGGACATTGCCACAGGAGCGTATTCGATGCTGTATGCAATTTCATTCGAGAATCAAAGCGCATGTCATAATAATGCCTGCTTAAATATATTTCTGAAGACACTTGTCTAATTTTGAATGAAATTTGCATATTCATTTGATTGTGACCGGGTGAGATAAGCTCGATTGTCTGGTCTACTCAAAATTTCTGTCTTCCACTGTAGTATTACCTCACCTTTTCTCTTCTTGATTCAATCTTCAATTATTTGTTTAGTTTAATATTCCTTTTTAGTTAATTATTATTTTCTATTACATCATTAGTTTTTTCATTAAGGATAAACCTTTTAATATATCTCATATAGGATACTTCTAGATTTCATGGCCAATCCCCCATAGTGGGTATGTGCCAGTGCGAAGGGGCAACAACAACAACAACAACGCGTGCCACGAATTCTGATTTTCGCCGTTGCTGCCAGCGTTGTTTCTTCTCGGTTGTTGAACCCAAGCCTTGATATCCTGTCGTTCTTACCACCTTGTCAGCGAGCACTCTAAAGGTAAGACCACCATATATTCGATCACGCTCGGTAGTGCACAATGGAATCTATTCAGAAAGGCTAGCCAGGCTATGAACTCGTTCGGCCAACCGACGACGTGAATTGTGGTTTTAGAAATCGCACATTAAATGGGACATTTAGTGGTTATTTTTATTTTCTTTGTCTACCACTCTGGATCTTTTTTTACGTTCCATATTTTTTTTTTAGGTTTCAAGGATGACAGCCAAAAGCCGCCTACTTAATGTCGCGCCACTGAGCCTGGCATTATTATGCTTTTCGCACCGTGCATCCAGCTTCAAGGATTGGTACTTCGGTGTCGAGAAGGTAAGCTTGAGCATTTCCAGGTTTACAGATGCTTAGTGTTCAAAATACCACTTGATAGCGTCATCGAGTGATTGTATGTATGGCTTAACGAAAGTAGCAGGGGCGAGCCAGAATTTTTTTTTGAGGGCGTGGCTGTGTGTTGGGAGGGGGAAGGGAAGGGGGCGTTCAAACATACTTCAAACATGTATATATACACACAAGGAAAATTTTAAAATATTCGGAGGAGGGGGATAGTAGTTGTACCCACACCCTCGTTTTGGCTACGTGCCTGGGAGGGAGCTTCAGTACCTATCAGACCTCCACCTTTTTCGTTTACCCAATATCATTAAATAGGACAATCCACCATAAAGTATGCAGGAATTCAAGGTTACAAGACTGAACATAGCGTATCTGTTGAGACGGACAAAATTGGCTGACATATTTCTTGCAAGCAGGAGCAGGTTGAAAATGATGCGTATACGAAATTCTGAGATGCTTATTTTATTTAAACTGATTAACCAACTTCATGTAATGAAGGCTAATATATAGACGAAGACAGCAGACTGTTGTCCTGTGTAATGTCTCAGTAACACCCACCGCGGTGTTCTAGGGGCTGAGGCCCTCGACCGCTGATTAGCAGGTCGCGGGATCGAATCCCGGCTACGGCGGACGCATTTTCGCTGGAGGTGAAAATGCTTAAGGCCCGTTTGTTTAGGTGTACGTGAAAGAACCCCAGGTGGCCGAAACTTCTGTAGCCCTCCACTACGGTGTCTCTCATAGTCATAAGATGGCTTTGGGACGTTAAACCCCAAAAATTATTATTAAGTCACAGTAACGTCAATTACTACAAGCTCTGCGTTGCGAGACCCAACTTTTAATCGAATAAAGATATCCCGATTTTGATGCTGTACTATTGTCATGTTATTACCAAGAAGTGTTGGTCACGTGAAGTTTGCATTGAAGTTGTTTGGTACAGCCTCCATCTTGGGGTGGGGAAGGGGGCAGTGCCACTGCGAAAAGCTGCGTAAGCAGGAATGGTGCCCTCCACTACGGCGTCTCAGAGTGTAAAACTAAAGACCCAATCCCTGAGTGGCTCGAACATCATGAGCCACTTAATCGTATAAAGGAACTCTAGTCACTATGTAACCATTCCGTTTGTTGCCGCTGCATGTACTGTTTTTGCACTGTATTGTTATTGTATGATGTGCAAAGGTAAGTAATAAAGAAAAAAAAAACTACGGCGTCTCTCATAATCATATGGTGGATTTGGGACGTTAAACACCACATATCAAATCAAATCAAAGCGGGAACCGTGAAACTACGACAACCTTTCTTGCAACGACGAGCAAATCAATATTTCATAGTCTGCTGCAGAACACACACTGTCATGCACAAGGCGACGCACACGTGATATTATGCGCCGCTGTCACCGCGGTCACCAGCGTGGTTCCTGGCACAGTAGGAAGCTGCCTTTGTGACATCACGTGCAATCCACCAACAAGCTTCCCAGCAGTTTGAAACAGGTGCACTCATTGAATTTTGTACCAAATTCATGAAATGAAACGCCACACCATTTTCTTCCTTTTTTAGTAGAATATATTATTGAGCCATTGCTCGTGATAACCACGCAGTGCTAAAGACAATGATGGCTGTTTTGAATAGTCGGCGCCAAACGTAGAGGCCGTGAAACGCACGCTAAAAAAGAAGAATAAAAAAAAAGCATAACATTCCCGCTTTTTCACCCGGCTGCCTCGAAATTACGTTTCCGGTACTCTAAAAGACACTATTATGTACTGTGCGGTGCGACCAAATACAAAAAAAAATTGCTGGAGAATATAAATTTTTCTCACACGTAGTGTTTTTCAAACTTCTGCGCCGACTGTAAGAGCTTGAATCAAGGTTACGTGGAAAGGGCACGAACTGTATACACACTGGAAACTAAAGTAGTCGCCCCGGCCGCGGTGTTCTAGTGGCTATAAGGCCCTCGGCAGGTGACCCGCAGGTCGCGGGATCGAATTCCAGCCGCAGCCGGTGCATTCCGATAGAGGCGAAATGCGCCCGCTAAAACTAAGTACACAAACTCCAAGGCCTGTGTACTTAGATTAAGGTGCACACTAACAACTTCAGCTGATAGAAATTTTTGGAGCCCTTCTTCACGGCGTCCCTTAATTATGTCGTAGTTTCCACACGTAAAAACACAACAATTATAAGCGTCCCTACCTAGTCCTACACGCGTTTCAATCTGCAAGACATGCTGTATGCCTCCCATTGCCTCGCTTGTCGAGTGTAGGTACCGGACTTCCGCATGATGGCGGTCAAGCCTCTGGCCTCGGTGCATGACTCCATCCTGTACACGTGCTCGGCCGCCTCGTCGGACCCGCAGCCGCTCAACATCCGCTTCCTCATCAACTTCCGCAACCTGACCGACTTCTGCAGGGACGGCCTCAAGTGCAAGGCGCCGCCAATCACGCGATCTCGCTTCAACGTCGTGCGAGGTCCCCTGGTCATCTACGACTCACAGGTTCGTGTTATATACGTGGCCGGAATTTGATTTACCCTAGAGCTGCACTGCATCAACATAGCGCACTTTATTTTAGGGCAATATACAAATTCCACCGGACTTACGTCACGAAGATGCGGCCATGGCACTGTCTTGGTAGGCAAAAGACGCTCTGCCTACCGCAGTTTCTGCTAGGTTTTCAAGGGTGCATGTGGTGTTCTCAGTCAAGCAACGAGGAAGAAAAAAAAAACGATATGCTGATGAACTGCGTCGCGGTTGGATATGAGTCACGTCTCGCAACTTAGTTTTGTTTGTTGACGCAAATCGCAGCCCTCAGTACTTATTTCTTTCACAACACTTATGACGTCTCACAACGTCGTTTTGTTGGCGCACATCGCAGCCCTCAGCGATTATGGTGGAAGTTACGTGCGGACGTCGCTATAATTTTACCGATCAGGTCGACATCGGCCTACCTGTGTTTAAAAACATGTAATGGGTCTATATACACCTGCCCGCTTACTACGCAACGCATCGATTGTGGAACTGCCCCGTTGCCGCCCACACCAGCTGGTGTTGCTAGAGAACTGTTACTGCTACTTGCTACGTCGTGACATATGCGGTAAATACACTTTACTTAACATTGTCTCCCAACAAGGCGAACAACCTACCCTTGCTAAGTACCCCCTTAATGGCGACCCCAATAATGGCTACAGGGAAAGCAGGAGACCCTCCCCCTTACATATTGTTTTTTCTGGGCACACATAAAAAACTTTAAAAAGCCATGTGGCATCAAGTTTATCTCGAATTCAACGCAGCGCTTGCATGTTAGCGTGGCGGTCTTAATTGAAATGAGTCAAATGCTGGAAATACAAGAAAAGGTAAGTCCATCGTGCGTGCTGATCCTTCTATCTGTGACATCCTCATTCTTTCTGGCATGACGACTGGAGCATGCATTTCAAAATAGAACTCGCTTCCCCGTGCTGACCTCGTGTCATTCCCAGAAATGTATATCGGATCCCCCTGTTAAATGGGAAGCCAACGTCGATGCTTTACTATTTATACGACGAAGGTATACCTTTAAAACAGATTCCCCAGCGAGCGTTGTCCGATGCGAGAACTATAGCCAGTCTAAGCAGTGTTCAGAAACGTTCACTAATAAGAAAAACTCCCAAGCATTTTCCCGAGGGTGAACACGGTTAAGTGCGAATGCACGGGGTGATGCTATGAGGGGTATTTATTAATTCGCACTATTATATTTATTAATCACACTATGGTGCCTTTATCTGACGCTTGCGTTGTCGTTCCGCTTCTTGGGCCGCGTTCGCGGCTCGATGCTGACGCCTCATCTCGGCCTCGCGAGCGCGCAGTTCACCATCCGCTGCACGCTTCGCCCGCTTATCCTCGGCCTCGCGAGCGCGAAGTTCGGCATCCTATGCACGCTTCGCTCGCTTGTCCTCGGCCTCGCGAGCGCGCAGTTCGGCATCCGCTGCACGCTTCGCCCGCTTACGTTCGGTCTCACGAGCCCTTCGCAGCGCCGCCTTGTCTTCCAACGTCGGCGAAACCACCGCGGTACCGTCACCTCCAACGACGGGTGCAGTGCTGGCATTCGGTTGTACTGCATTCGTTGTTGATGGTAGCGTTGCCTCCGGGACATCAATCGCACGACCCGCTCTCGACGGGAGACTGAGAGAGAAGGCGGGCGCGCGAGAGAGAGGGGTGCGCGCGCAGCTGCGGTGAGCGAGGAGAGCGGAGGAGCGAGCGAAGGGGGAGGGGGACTATCAGCGTCGCGTCCGTGGCTTATTCGGTAGAGCGTCGCGCTGCGGCCCGCCAAGTCCTCTTTCTTTTAAAGATAGAGAGAAGACTGCGGACGCCGCCGACGGCGGTAGATGGTTTGGGGTCGCTTATAAAGCGTATTCACACTTAAAACTTCGTCTTAGAAGTTTCAATATAAATTGTCTTTGTAGAGTTACACGGCTAAATCGAGAAACGTGTCGTCGCAGCTCGAGTTTGGCTCGACGGTCCCCGTCGAAGGAACGGTGTCGTGTGCCTTCGAGAACGCGCACGGAAACGTGCTGGCCAACCTGTACGGCTTCTTCAACATCAGCCAGCACATCCTGCCGAACAACGTGAACGCCTCACAGCTCTGCGTTCTCCAGCAGGGATGCCGTCTCGAAGAGAAGCACTGTCTCGGTCTGAATCATGAAAAGTACGTGCATGTTGCCGCACACCCTCCTTTGTATGTTTTATGTGCCGGCGCATTGCACGTGTGGATACCATCTTGCGCAATGCTTTCCGGAATGTCTGAAAGAATTATAGCTTTAGAATCAGCTGACCATGCAGTTTGAGCGCGCGAATGCGTACAGCTGAGTTGATTCTAGAACAAACGTGGCCTCCATCAGCGATAACATTCGAATGTTCGACACCACTTGCCTAAATATTCGTCCGGGCCATGCCGACGTGTGGAACCTCTTCAAGGCTTTTTCGAGTAGCTGCTAGCGCTCTCCACAGTGTGAAGACATGGTCTTCTAGCTCACAATGAGGAAAAACCTTACTCTTGAAATACAGGCCGTTGCAATATTGTTCCTGTTCCTTTAATGCTATGGCTACGATGAAACTATAATTTTTCCTTCAGTTCAGAAGAGATGCACGGTCGTCATGGGCGTGACATTTGATATAACTTCGAAATAAGCACAACCCTGCATTGCACGATGCAGTAACACGTGAGAAGCTCATACAAGCAATTATATTCCGCCTGCTCACTTCAAAGTAAACCGCAATCAGCATAACCAACAACGCAATATTGTTTCCGGTAGTATCTTATAAAGCTGTTACTGACTGCAGCTTGAACTCCGATACACAGCGGCGTACACTATATTCGTATACGATAACGCGTTTCTAAATGAATAGAGTCCCTTATGCATTCACCCAGGAAAACTCGAAGGCGAAAGTTATCTCATTTTTCATTTAAGTCGATGTTCTGATGCTGCGCCACTGCTATTCGAGAGCGTTCTGCAACTAACGTAGTTTGGCACTGCCTCTGAGATTTGAAGCACCTCACCTGGTTTAGCGTTTCCTTTATGATCGGATTCTCTCCGGCCATGTTAGAATGCCGTGGGATGACGGCATTACGTGACGTTACAGTGAAGTAAGAAATTGCAGCCATTTGAAACGGTATGTTTTGACGTCATCACGTGACATTTTTAATCACTCGTAGGCTGTCCAGAGGGCCCACGATTTGGCGGTCGGGCTTGGCCTGACTGTCCCAACATGGGAACGGCTCGCTGCGCACTGAGTCGTGCACCTCAGGACTTCAAGTAAAGTTTCGCATCCGTCCGTCCGTCCGTCCGTCCGTCCGTCCGTCCATCCATCCATCCATCCATCCATCCATCCATCCATCCATCCATCCATCCATCCATCTATCTATCTATCTATCTATCTATCTATCTATCTATCTATCTATCTATCTATCTATCTATCTATCTATCTATCTATCTATCTATCTATCTATCTATCTATCTATCTATCTATCTATCTATCTATCTATCTATCTATCTATCTATCTATCTATCTATCTATCTATCTATCTATCTATCTATCTATCTATCTATCTATCTATCTATCTATCTATCTATCTATCTATCTATCTATCTATCTATCTATCTATCTATCTATCTATCTATCTATCTATTTATCTATCTATTTATCTATTATCTATCTATCTATTTATCTATTTATCTATCTATCTATCTATCTATTTATCTATTTATCTATCTATCTATTTATCTATTTATCTATTTATCTATTTATTTATCTATTTATCTATATATCTATTTATCTATTTATCTATTTATCTATTTATCTATCTGTCCGTCCGTCCGCCCGTCCGCCCGTCAATTATTTAATCAAGTAATTAATTAACTAATTATTAATCATTAATTAATTAAATTTTATTTAATTATTCTGACGCCGCGGTCACCGGTGCCGACCGACAAATTTCATGTTTGATGAGGCAGCTGAAATTGAACTTGTTTAGCCAGTGAGACAACGTGAGGTACAAAGGAGCGACCATTGTATTTTCAACACAGACTCGCGCCGCCAGCCAACGAACACGCGGCGAGAGACTGCGATGACGATGACCACAATGGTTTGTATGCGCAGGTGAAGATGAACTACACATTCAGCGCTCACACTATGTCCCCCCTGTACGAAAGCGGTCAGTACGAGCGCCGGATATAAGGCTTCAGGCCAGACACATGGACGATGTCGGTTTCGCGACGACGGTGATCAGAAGCCGAAGTAACCTGACAGTAGTTATAGCACGAGAACAGAACGATGACTAAGTGCTCGTGCTATAACTATCGTCATGTAATACGAACTAGCCCAAACTGCCACACTCCGAAGTGACCGGAGAGACTCGATAATTCATGACCGATGTTCGTTCAAGCACGGTGTAAGGTTCCAGTTATCTGTGAACGAATTTTTCACAGAGGCCTGGTGTGCAAACAGGTGTCCAGAGGAACAATTTGTCGCCTGGGCATAATGACACAACTTGACGTGTCGCATCACAACGAACTTTTCGCTGGGCCTGAATGGCAGAGGTGTTGGCGCGGGTGATTGCGTGGCTGTGGTGGACACGGGCAGCGAACTCTTTCGGAAGGGACGCAGATGGGACAGAGGGCGTGGACAAGAAGCTGGTGTCTAGAACAAAAGATGGTGCACGGCCATACACAAGGAAAAACGGGCTGTAACTTGTAGTGCGTTGAATGGCAGTGTTATAGGCAAACGTGACGAAAGGTAGTATTGTGTCCCAGTTCTTGTGATTGGGTCGGACATACAAAGAGATCATGTCTGACAAAGTTCTAGGAAAACGCTTTGTGAGATCCTTGTTTGCGGATGATATGCCGAGGTGGTCTTACGGATGGTGTCAGAGGCCTGTAAAACATCAGCGAGTACATGAGAAAGAAATGTCTTGCCCCGGAACATTAGGGGTGCCGTGGCGCAAGATAACGGCACGCAGAACAAAGTCGGCCAGCAGCGCCAGAAGGAAGAGCTGCCTTCTGAGCGTAGCAAGTAAGATGGTCTACGGCAGTAACAATATAGCGGTGACCGGCGGTGGTAAGCGTAAGGGGTTCGTATAGGTCTGTACCGACGAACTCGAAGGTAGCGGATGGGCACGAGGCAAGTTGTAGAGGGTCGGTGGGAAAAGATGTCGAACGTTTTCGGTGCTGACATGACGAACAGAAAGTGGCGTATTTGGTAACACTAGTGGAGAGGCCAGGCCAGAAGCAGCGAGTTTTAATGCGATCGCAGGTTTTATGAAAACCCAAGTGGCCAGCCGTAGGGTCGTCATGAAAGGCTTCTAAAACTTGGAGTTGAAATGAGCGAGGTATGACCGATACCCATCGGCTACCGAGAGGTTGGTAAATTTGGCGAAGTAGTTCCCCATCATGAAGTTTGAAACGGGTGAGTTGTCGTCGTAAGCGGCTGTTGAGAGCACGAGACGATTCGGTGAGCCGATCGATGATTGTACGGCAGAATGTGTCTGCACGTTGGAGCGAGGTGAGGTCTGTGGACTGAAGGAGGCCATCCGGTGCAGTGAACTGGCTTTTGCGGAACAGGAAGCATCCTTCATTAATCAGGCGAAGCATTCATTAAAATTTGGTCTGTGACACTGCGATGGTGGTGTCTACTCTGGACTTTACGTTCGGGTGTTTTTGTATGCTCTCGCAAGTATGCATAGTTGATATGATTTGCCAAAATAAGGCTCAGTTGGAAGTTAGCGCTCTGTCTTCTTGGGTAAGTCTGCTTGGCCGTTCTTCTTCCCCGTAATCTACAGCCATCCTATGTACGGCAAACCAACATGTCCAATCTTCATCACTTGTGGAAGCATCTGAGGCTTCCACTCTAAAAACAACCATTTATCAGCAGAGGCGGGGCCCACCTTCTCTCGCAGCTGCAGCCAGTGCCAGGCGGGCATGGGGTTCGACAGCTTCTACCACCTGTGCTTCGACCCTCGCCAGATCGACCAGTCGTGCGTGTTCCTGCACCAGTGCACGCAGTCCGATCCGCGCTCTCTGTGCAAGCTCCGGGTGTGTCGGTGCAGGCCACGGCACGAGTACAAGCCCGAAGGCTGCCAGCCCCAGGTCGGGCTCGGCTACCTCTGCGGACCGGGTACCTACTGCTCCACGCCGCTGGCCACCTGCGTCAAGCATGCCTGCGTTTGCCCGGAGGTGCGGTCAATAGTTTAACTTCTTCGAATCGACATTAAACTTAAACATTAAACTTGTGGCATACGTGTAACTGATTTTTCGCTAAACCTCGGCCCTTGTAGCCATTCTGTACAGGTTACCGTGTGCTTAGATGTATACCTGCACGTTAAAGAAAACCCGGTGGTCGAAATTTTCGGATTTCTCTGGTGCGCGGTGTGTCTCGTATCGTGGTATTAGGGCGTAAAACCCAAACAAGTATCATTAGAACATTCATTCGATACCGGAGTACTCGGGGAGGGGGGGCGCTCTTACGGAGAGTGTCACATTCTATCATAGCTTTTCAAAGAGCCAGACCGTTGATTTTTTCTGAGTAGACGAGCAAGAAATCTTTCTCAAGCGAAGCCGGCGTAGCGTACAGGGTGTTACGCCTCACCAAACGTCAATGCCTCTGCAAAAGCAATCTATCTCAAGGCCAGGAATCGAGCCCGCCTGACGCGATCAGCTCAACGACGTCATCAAGCGGCGGCACCGGTCTGTCTTACGCAACGCACAGTGAGCCCCCTCAGCCCACGAGCTCGATGAAGCAATCAGCGCCTTCCAATCAGGCGACTCTTACGCAATGCGTGGCAACGTCACTCGTCCTTGGGTGCAACCACGCGCAGCGGCTCCGGATTTGATGATCATGACACAGCCCAGTGGCGGGTTCCCATTGAAGGATTCTGACAACACGGCAGCGGCGCTTCTGGTTGGATGTTGGTGACGAAAAAGGTCCTCCCGGTGCCTATAAAAAAAGCCAGGCGGCGCGTCGCCAGCAGTTGACCTATGAGTCAGAGAGAAGCCGACGTACGCGTCAGAGAAGACATCTTGGCTCTTCGAGTCCCCAAGCTGTCGGCCCCAGTGCCGAATATCCCCTTCAGGCGCGAATTAAATCTGACGTAGCGAAAAAAAAATTTTGTTCAGATTATGAATACATAACGCTATTAAAGAAGGAATCCACAAGAAATTCAGAAAAAAATTCATTGGTTCAATTTTTCAATGGCGTCCACATATGTGGACATTGCGCCTCAAAGCAGTCATATTGTCACGTGACCGTTACCCAAGCGCGCGCACGAAGACGCAGGGAAAGGAAGACGACGAAGGTGCGCCATGGCTTGTGCGTGGGTTTTTCGCCATACTGCCTGTTGTATAGGCTCTAGTAAATACATATTTTACATCTCGCTTTCCTTGTTGCAATACCCATGAACGGTGGAGAAGAAGAAAACAAACGCTTTTATTTCGGAGGCTCGCAAATAATCATTGCAGGAACACTGCTTAGGAAGTCTTTTCCGCAAAAATAATCAGAAAGAGTCTATTTGGTATGAAACAAATAAAAACAGTCGTTCTGAGATGTCAGACAAAGGAAAATGTTGCATTTCCTGCAGCGGACACGGCTTTTGGATGTGCATTCCTCTCTCCGGCAGCGTTGTGCGTTAGCCATGTTTACTTGCTGCGGCCAATGATTAATCCCATCATAGCGAACAGTGCTGACTGGTAGTGGTGAAGCATTGGGTACCTTCTTTTTCACTGTTCGGGAGTTGTCATTGCTCGGACGTCCACGCTTCTTTTGTGGCTTATTGCTGTTCAGCAGGCAATTCGCGACGTCTGTTTGGAACGCCATCATGTCCAGTGTCTCTTTTCTTAGTAGCCCTGCTTTATTGGCATCCCTTAAGTATTCAAGCCAACTGTTGGAGAGCGCAAAAGATGCAAAATGGGAAATCACTCTCACAGGCCACTTTTTCGTTCGCGTCCGCATTGGGTAGAGGGACATGATGAAGTCTAGTTTGTCTACTCCACCCATGTATTTGTTGTAGTCCAGGACTACCTCTGGACAGTCAATGTCAACGTGGACCTTTTGGGATTCGCTCCATCTTCTCACGGTGCCAATATTTCCAACTCCAAGGTGGGTAGAAGCCATGTTGACGGTCCCGTTGTCTTGCCAACGAACAAGGACAACTTCGTCGTTCTGGGAAACCCGCTCATCATAGCTTCCCCGTCCTTCTTTCTTCATTTCCTTGTCTGTTTTCATGACGCATCCTGCCAAGCGGTTTCCCCTAATTGTGCCACTAGCCAAAATGCCGATCTTTTTTAACTCAAGAAAGAGCTTCACGGACGTAAAATAATTGTCCATGTAGCACTTGATGTTCTGTGCCTTCGGGAGGCTTTCAACAAGGCGCATTACGACGGAGCCACCAAGGCCAAGATGTGCATGTTCTTTGCTCACTCCCGTTCCCTTCCCTTGGTAAAACTCAAAGTCATGTGCAAGACCGTCAAAACTGCAGCGTACAAAAACCTTCACGCCTTCTGGGTTCGGTTTTCCTTTCACAAATTGCTTTGCAGCAATGCGTCCTGTGAACGGCACCATCTGTTCATCGATGCTATTCTGTTCCAAGGGAACAAGCTGTAAGCAGCGGCTTCTGACAGCTTCTAGCAACGGCCTAACTTTCCAAAATTTGTCTTGGCTGTTCGGGTCCCGTTCTTCATTAGCGTCGCTTATGTGGAGAGCGCCTCTGATTTTGAAGAATCGCTTCACGCCCATCGAATCGGCTATTGCGGGAATCCTCGTTGCAGTTTGCCAATACATTCTGACGCGTGGGTATTTCAGAACACCCATCAGCATGAGCATTCCAAAAAATATTTTGATCTCTTCTTTTGTAGTGGCTAATACGGCACCGTCTCTTTGCAGGACATACCTGTTTGTGAATTCAGCAAGGTCTTCAAATATCTGTTCGGTGAAATACTTGCTAAAATACACAAGTGGCTGCTGGCATGTCGAGGCTACTTCAGGATTGTAGTGGCAGTCAACATCACTTGGAGCAAAATCTTTCTTCACCCATTTGAACTCAGCCTTCGTAGATGCCGCAGGTGCGTTCGAGCTGACCGTGGCGTCTGGTCGTGCAGGCAGTGCAGCTGTGGTCGTGGATGCGGTCACCTGACCATTGGCAGGCTGAAACAAACAGCGTAAATTAGGGTCAAAGTACCTTTAGACAGTTTGGTGCCATATGTTTCCCGAGAACACAAATAATGTCTCACAATCTCGAGCAAACTTACTATGTTTTCTTCATTTTCTGCTTCCAATTCGTCATCTGAAAAGTCGCCATCTGAGATATCTCCATTTGATATTCTCATGAGGATTTCTTCTGCTGTCGCATCATCAACTTTCTGACGTTTTGAAGCATGATCTTCAAGTCCTGGAGACAAAAAATCACACATAACCATCATATCTGCGCACACGGTGCGAAATGGCTGCCCTGCAACAAAGGCAGCACTAAGGCGCAATGTCCACGATCGTGGACGCGGTATTTTACGCACCCTTTTTGACGTTATAAATAGTTTCTAGTTGCAAAAGTCTTGTTTATTGGCATGAGGTATCTCTTAGCTCTTACTGACAAGTGCATAATTTCATGCCACCTCGAATGAAACATAGCAAGGGCTTGAAAAGTGAGAGCCACTTACGTGCGCCGCCGTAAAACGTGGAGGCGTCCATCTTTGAGAGTTGTTTTTGTAGTTATTTTGTGTCAGCTGCGGCAGATGGCGCCACGGGTCGCTGCAGCAACATGTAGTGATAGAGAGAGCACTGGTTGCGCGCGAGATTCAAAGTAAATTTCGAGATATTGAGCTGTGAAGTTGGCGTCCACAAATGTGGACGCTGCGCCTGAAGGGGATAAGTAACGCCTCTATTTCTATGCTGTACATAAACTTTGCCTCAACTCACCGTCGTCTCGTCCGCTCGTCTATCAGCTCTGCGCAGAAGCAGTCGCGAGCTGAGAAACCTACGCTACCAAACGGCTGGTGACCTTCCCGGTGGAGTTCGGAGCAGTGGCACCTTTGAGACCGTGTTGGCGTCGCGCCTTCGTAACAAGGGTCAGATTTTCAAGTTCATGCGCTTCTGCGCGCGTACACGCAAAGGTATGACATTTAACAAATTGGGGTGGAGGGTTGAATACCCGAAGCCACACCCTGGCTACTCCAGCATCGTGGGACTCGGTCAGCGCCGTAACATGACACCACTGGCGTTAATCCCCTGACGTGCTTAAAGCATCAGCAATGTGGATAACACTGTTGGTTATATACTGGTTGCTTGTGCATGCTCTCATCCAGAGGTCAGCAACCCGCGGCCCGCGAGCCAGTATTATGCGATCCCTCTGTCGGACATCATTACGCCCCAATTCACATTTCCTCTTGTCGCTACCTACTGAAAAGCCGAGATGACATCGTGGACCTCAAATGGAGTTAGACATCGCTTCTATTTGGCATTGTGCCCTCTTTCCAGACTTGGCGAAAACTTAGCCAAAATTTAGCCAAAGCTTTGGCCGTTTGTATATTATTGTCAGCTTGCCGAATTTTTCTCGTTAGCCTGCAAAGCCCTTCTCACCCCCCCCCCCCCCTACCTGAATAGGTTGCCGACCACTGCTTTAAGCAAAGTAGACTGTCAACTACAGATGCGAAGTGTGAACAAAAAAATGGGAAAATTCTCCAAAAAACAGGTTTTCTTTCCGTTTTTCGACGCAGTGTGAAAAATTGACCAATATTTCCATGGGGTAAAACGCACAGAAATAAAGCTTAGGCAACACCCAGCGTTGAACGCGAAACCAGAACGTTGCACGTGATAGCAAAACACCAAACGACGGCTGACCATTCGCCATCGAAATCGCATGATATCAGCTCCACGTCAGCCTACAGCTTGAGTCTATAGCGTAACTTCGTCGTTCGAGTGTGGCCATGTGGGGTGGTTTCTGATCTTTTCGTACCAGTTATTGTTCAGTCTTGACTTTCCCTCGTGTATACACCTCTGCGACCTGTGGCGAAAGCCCGCTTATAAAGCCGTGTGCAAGAATATTCTGCAATGGTTGGGCCAAGTGCCGACGTGTGGATGCACTTCAGGCTCAGGGAGAACTTTGGCGGGAAACGGGGACTCACCGTCTTTAAGCACTGCAACAGCAGCTACGTTTTAAGTGTTTGAATTACGTCATCTTTATACCATTTTTATCAATGTTTTCATAGTCAAAGCCACGACGAGATAGACATTATCGGTTTCTTTATTGTAACTGCCGTAACAATTATAGGAAGCCGCGCCCATTCGCAGAGAGCTAAATGAGTTCGCGGTGATGCTTCCGGCCTGCATTCGACCTGTTAAACGCCGTATTCATTCGGGAAAAAAGAGAAAGCGTTTCATTTCTGCAATTTACACAATGAAAGTTATTGCTCCTGACGCTTGGAAATAAGCTATTACCATATGACAATAAACTGTATGGTAAATATGATTTGTTGTTTTCCATTTCCCCCAAAAAATTTTTAGAAAAAATTGTGAACACAAAACACGTTTTCCGATTCCTCGAAATTTCCGAAAAATTTTGCATCTCTACTCTCGATACTCTAGCAAGACTTACTGCTCTGTTCTTGGCGTCCCAATATAGGTTTATTTTGAAGCGTGATCAATTGTGCATAGGGTGGCTGCCCACGTCCAGTGAAGCTGTAAAGGGACTGTATAGAAAGCACGTTCATACAGTGCTTGTCGTCATTTCTAAAGCGTGCAACAGCGAGGGGAAAGTAAAAGTTCTATGCTCCTTCTTTGTACCAGCAGGGCATCGAAAACATCGCGATCACGAAAGCCTGTTGGTTTGATTATGGTCTCAATCCCCTACGCAGATGAAAACTTGTCTTCCCATTTTTGGAGACAACTCAGTGAAACCAACATTTGAAGAATGCAAGGAATGTATACGGAGGTATATTACAAATATTCGTAATATTTAACTGTAGTGCAGTAATTAAAATAATGTAAAGAAATTAACGTGGGCCAGTAAAGGGCAACTCGGCGTCGGGATAGGGACGGAATCTACAACCTTCAGTTAACAAGACCAATGCTCTAGCAAATGAACTATCGTGGTGGTCGTCCTTTGTTTAATTAAATATTTCTGCGTACGTAAAGCTGGGAGTGTTGGCCATCGCCGCTGATACCCATGACGGCAAGCGTGGAACTATTTTTTCCCCCAGTTTGTGTCATATGTACCCGAACTTTCTGGTAGCTGAGCAGCAAAACCTCGCGTAATGGCTGAAAGCATCAAGTTGACCAGGACAAGACCTTGAGGATTAGATAAACTGTCCTTGGTTGATTCACCCTATTTCGTATCGTTTACAATATACAAAACTCCTTAACCAAGACTGTCAATAATTGAGGCGTATCTTTTTATTGTTCTTTTGTAGGACCACTTGGCGGTGAACGGGACGTGCCAGGCGGCCGCGGCTATCGAGCTGAAGGACATGCTGGTCATCCTCACGTCGACCGCGATCGTCTTCACCGCATTCACGTCACTCGTCTGCATCCTGCTGCGCGACCAGCGGCCGGAGGACGAAGAAGGCAACCGGTCGCGATACTCGCTCAACTCCATCAGATGATCGACGTGGCCCATTTTCATCTTCATCGTCGTCGTCACGTTTTCGAGGCGCGGTCATTAGCCGCTCCTGCAACCATTTAAATCGTCCCACTTCATTGCGAACCATCTGAGGCGAGCCTCGGCGCACCCTTTCATCTTTTTTTCGCGGGCCAAGACATGGAATTATATCAATGTTGAATAACCTAAGCAGCATTAAATAATTAAATCAATGGGCTTCCATGTATCGAATTCATGAGCTGGTTTTGAGAAGCACCATAGAATGAGACACTCCAGACTTTTTTTTTTTCATTTGAACTTCTCGGTCATAACGGGTATAAATACGGAAGATTATTTCGAAGAATATGTCCTGAAACTAAGACCTTGTTCCGGTAATGTTATTAACCCGAATGGAACCATTGGACGTTTGTTTGCCAAAGTGAAAGGTAAGTGGGGTCATCTGGGCATCTGATAATTCTACGCTATTCTGTAACATCAGCAGCGACTCGGCAGCGTACGTTCAAACCACAACAAGTGCACACGAGTGGCTTTCGCATTTTGCTGTGAAATACGTAATGAATTTTGATCTCTTGACCTCGAACTCAGCAGAATTATAGTGGGAAGCGCAGTGTCATTGCTGTCGATGCGAAATCACTGAACGAGGACTCATCGATATCATGGAATTGGTCAGCGGGGATGAACAATGCTCTTCGAGACGTCATAATGAAAGGTTTTTTTTCTTTTTGTTTTAACGCAATAGCGTTAATTAGCTCCTTTCGTAGAAATTCCAGAGTCGGCGTTGGCGTCGTTGTTTGTGAGCGAAAAACTGTTAGCCCATGACCGGAAAATCTAGAAAGATGCAGATAAACTATTGGGTCCGCAGTGAGAATCGAACCCAGGCAGTTTGTGTGCAAGAAAGCGTTCTATCACAAAGCCACGTCATTCCTTGAAGCTGATTTGAAAAAAAAAAAAATGTGAATGTCGTGTAGTGAAAGGACGCCTTTGGGGTGTCTTCTCTGGGTTTCAGCTGCAGAAACGACCGTCTAGCCATATGCGAATTTCTTGTTAGAATTACATGTTAACATTATTTCCAATGAAATTTTTGTGCTTCAGAATTCGTTTCATTAGTTATTTGGCCAAAAGGTAATTGTATTGTTATATGTAGTCCAGTATTATTGAGATCTAACAGATAATCATGTCAAGAGCAGTATAGGGGCTATTACAAGTAATTGTCTATAGTGTAATTGTGAAGAAAGAAAAGTGGATGAAAAGATAACTCGCGGTGGGCAGAGACCGAATCTGCGACCTTCGAATAACGCATTCAATGCTCTACCAACTGAGCTACCACGGTGGCATCCCCCCATTCACTTTATGGTGTATATATGTGCATTAAACGTGGGAGTGTCAGTCAGCGCCACCAGTCGTCATGACGGTGTGTGTGTGGAACACTCTTCTTCTGTCTGTCAGCCATCACGTAGCACGTGAACTTATAACGAGCTCGCAGCTGACGAATAGTCCCTCGTATACTACCTTAAGGCACCAAGCCTGCCAGAACGAAACCATGGCTATGAATGAAGGAAAGAAGTGTTAATATAATGGTTTGTTTTCTTTGTTCGACACAATATGAATAAAATCTAACAGACAACCATGCAGTTATCTTTTCATCCACTTTTGTTTTCGAAGTTCACAATTACAATTACTTCTAATAACCTCCCCTATATTTTCATTGGTATGACTGTCTGTTATTTCTCAATAATGTTGTATTTAACAAAAAAAGCCAGCCATTTGATGTATTCTCCTTTCCTTTATAAGTAGTCCGGTCATTCTTGATTTTTTTATTCCTGTGGCGATCAATTTCTTCGTCAACCCTTTTTATTGAAATTAAGATTTTGCTTTAAATTAACCACTGATGTCCTGATCCATGGTGGATAGGAGCCGTAATTCAAGGTACAAGCAAGCAAGGAGTCTCATTTGCACATGTGATATTGCATGTCAGAATCCTAGAGTCGCACCAGCTGACGTCGAAATAAGTGAATTAAGCAATGAGGGGTGGTTTTTCACTTGCGAATGTGCTCGTGGCACCCTGTGGTGGGTAGTTCGCCTGTTAGCAAGAGGAAAAACTACGGCGCAGTGGGCACTTAGCAACTGTACTAGCACGGGCACTGTATAAAAAATCCAAGGGCCGTGGTACAAGCATAGTTTGAAACAGTCACTGTTACGCGCACAAACGTCTCTTTCCTTACTGCATAAGTACCGTGCAGTAGAGTTTTTCCAGTGTGACTGCAGCGCCAGAGTGCAATGCCTAGCGTAGAAAAAACGCATTAATGCGGTCAGTCAAAATGGAACGCGATAACGGCGACTCCCTGCCCGCGTGAGTGGGCGGATTGCAGCAGGGATACAGGGGGGACGCGTGCGCGCGTCTGTTTTCTGCGTGCCCCTAGAGGTAAACGTCAGCGAACTTAGGATGGGCTAGTGCTAGCAACGCAGCTTCCTTTGGTCAGCGGACGGTGCCTATAGGCACCCGGCAATGCAGTGTAAGTGATCTGATGGTAGCGGCAGAACACACAGCCTAGCGAGTAGGCGCAGCAAAACCGAGTCTTCCAGTGCGTAGCCTAGAGAGTAGACGCAGCAAAACCAAACTTGCGCGTGCATATCACTTTCTTCTTTAGTTGTGAGCAAGGGGGTCACGGCTGATTAAGTAGGCGCCCAGGAAGCGTTCTTTGAAAATGTATTCAAAAGGGCCCTGACACTTCAGCGCGTCACTGTGTTCAGCGAGAGTTCCATTTTCTTAGTATCCCTGGTGGTACCAACAATGCTGCGGCGGCCCAAAGAGCTTCGTCGTGCCCTCTGGTCCACTGTTGGCTGCCTATATAGTTGAAGGCATAGAGTTTCATACTATATTGTATGAAACTGTATCGTTGATGGAAACGCGCTTAGGGCTAGATAGCGTTCTAGCGTTTTACTTTTGGAGGCGAAGTTAAAGCGTCATCCAAGTTACCGACCACATAAACAGTTTCGCAGTTTACTGCGAAACTGTTTATGTGGTCGGTAACTTGAGCGCCGTCGTGAAAAGAAAACTATCATCATTATGAAACAGCTGACACTTGCCTCATTTCTTTTATAACGAAGCTATCCAAGCTATCGATTAATATTAAAATTTTCTTTATTTGCTTATATCGATTTAACAGACATAAGCTAACGAAAGTCAAGAGTTTTCTGTTTTTTAGAACTATCCTGTTCTTCGCCAGTGGGAGTGTGCCGCATATGTAAGGCTGTAATCTGGTCTAATCACTCCTAACAGGTAGGAATTGATGGTTCTGGTTTATATTAGGGGTTAGCTGTCGTTTGATGAGGCATATGAAACAAGAGCCTCAGGTGCCTCATCATACGAGTAAAAAGACCGCCGGTGGCGCGGTCAACACAAACGATACAAAAAGTCACGTGATCCAACGTTACGCTTTGCTTACGTCGGCATGACGTCACGTAAGGTGACGTATAATGTGATGATGCCGTGACATGAAATCATCGAAGTATCAAATATGAGCCGATCACGGAGGCAAAGAAAAACCAGGCAGTGCGAAACCACGTTAAGTGCTGAAAACTTTCGGAGGTTGAAAGGCAATAATAAGCCCACCGACTGATGATAAATGTAACGAAACAGTGCTCCCGAGCTCAGGTCGTGGGAGGGTCCCTCCTTCCAGGAATCCTCTAACCGCAATCGCCATTCGGGCTCTGGCGACGAGTCCTCGTTGGTCATATATAGATCCCGTTCTCCACGTCTCGCGTACGGGCTTGATACGGGTGGCAGATGCAGGCTTGGTATTACCACCTTCGGGGTACCATCTACTGAGAAAAAAAAAAAGATGGCTCCCAGATTATCACAAGTTTAGCAACGCAGCCAGTGTGAAAGTCACTCTCAGACACACAAGTCCTCTAGGGTCACTATACTTTTTCTGCTATGTGCAATCTGATGTCAACTTTCACCTAACGCCCTTTCACTGTCTTAGTTCATGTGCATAGAGATCTTTTCATGCCATTCCGTGCACCGTTACTCGATTCTTGGCCCACGTCCACAACAGTGGGTGCATTTCATGGTCAAGAATCATCATGGTCGGAATCTAAGGACCACCACGTGTCCACGTCTCGCTATGGGAAGCGTGGAACACGCGGCCGCTTCAGAGTGTGTGAAAATCCCGAAAATTGGATCCATTAAGCGAACTGTGAAAACAAGACGTAAGTATAGGCTGTTCTTTTTATTCTCCACACAAAATCTGCAAACGCATTATGGTGGCAGAACCCTTCTTTTACTACTGTTCATCACTTGGGGCTGCCTATGAATTCAAACCTTTCATTGAATGCCCCTTACTTATATTGGACTACTGTAAATAATAATGCACAAATTACGGAAATACCTGTGGGAATTCGACATACTACAAAGTTAAGGAAATCACAGGAGGTGTTGTTTGTATAGTGTTTGATTAGTAATTATTAGATAAATATAAATAAAGCAGATGAATTACGTCATCAACTGAAAACACTGTCGAGGACTAGATTAAAAATACCATTTGAGGGTCCGAGGTCGTTGCCTCAATTTAGCACGCGTCGCCGACTTCCAATGGCGACGCGCGTTCTTTATATCACCTCTATTGTGTTTTGTAACGGATACCTGCTGAGTGCGCATGTTTGTGTGTTTCATGTACTACCTTTATTGAAAACATATCTTGTTTGTGTTATGAACTCATCGCTATGCATGACTCAGTCTTTGGTCCACAACCCGCGTTGGCTGGCGCTCTAAAAGAGCCTACTTTAAATTATCCGCTGCTTTCGTGGTGCGTTTCGGGTAGCCGATACGTTGGCCGGAATCCGCCCAGCGATTGCTCCCCATTAGTGGGATCAGTGACAAATTCGTCACGGCTCTCCGTACCGAATATTGTTCGGAAAGTTGTGAATAAGGTTCCCGTCAGTGGAGCCGCAAATTATTTGCCTTTCTTTTTGATCGGTGTTCCTCTCTTACATTTCATAATG